TCAATGCAAGCTTAGAGCTTGGTCCGTCCCGTCCCCACAGCACCTAGTCCACAAACATTCAGGACGTACTTCGTATTTTATGTCCCTGAAAAGAGCTTTTTCACAAACTAGTTTCATTCCAAAAATAAAAGATCCGTGCACATTGATTCTGTGTTACCCCCACTCACAGTGGGTTCATTTGAAAACAGACGGAGACAGTCACAGCAATGGGGAGGGCAGGGTGCCCCCATCTGCCCAGTGATGCTGTGGGTGGGCATATATCAAGACTGCAATACCACTTCCTTGTTCATTCACCCGGGGCATGTGCAGGCAGCAAAAAGTGTGAATAAACCTAATTCAAGGGGTGGGGTGTTTCAAATGTGTAGCAAGTACAGTAACCACACTCATCCTTGTGGATGGCAGGATCTACAATAGAATCAATCTAGACTGAAAGCAGCAGGCTGAGGATAAGCATGAATGGTTCTGGATTGAGAAAAGCTACATTTTTGTGCTACAAACAGGTTTGTGCGTACACAGCCACCAAATTCTGCTCCCCCGGCTGTCTCTGTGCCTTTACCCTAAGCCTGAACAAATCAGTCCGGTATTCTAAGGAACCTGGTGTTTTTGCAAGAACGCTAAGGAATATTCAGTTTTGTGTTATTCACACCTCATAATTTTGAAGTGTCTTTATTATTTTGAATATTTGCTCAGTTGTTTGTTTGTTCTGAAATAAAGAGAGCTTGATTCCAAGTAATGTATTTAAGACTATGGGGAAAGGACAAAAACAGTTTTGGACTTACCCTATGGATTCAAAAGGCAGTAGATTGATGTTGGCCGCACACTGATTTTTTACCATTCTCTCAGGAGCATCCCTTGGGATGCTAAACACTCAATAGGTTTGCTGTGTCAGGGCACTATGGTTAATGGGGAAATTTTGCACCTTTGACTCCCTTTTAATCATCAGATACAGTGAAAGAGTTCTTCTCTTGATGCTTATTGAAGCTCCAATTTTATATTTCATGATTAAATCATGAAATTGGACAAAAATGTTTAAATTAACTGAAAAAGAGATTTGTGAAAAGATCCAGATTTCTTTAAAGAATTGAGGAATCGTCCCCAGGGGTGGGGGGGAGATGCATTTCAAATGTTTCTTGTTTTTTCAGTTCACATTTCAGATGTGAGCTTTTGAGAATAGGGAATTTAGAATTTGTTATCAGCCCTGAAGCCATAGAATTACATGGATTATGAATCACAATAACTGCGAAAGGGATTGAGACAGAGCATAGATTGAGTGTTGTGATTTTCTAAAGCCATATTTGCTAGGGATAAATTGCACATAGGGAACATGCAAATTCCACAGCAATCTATATGCAAGGGGTGGGTCAGGTATGGGAGAAAAAGAGACAAGGAACCTGGAAGGACACAGAGGAAAAAGAAGAAAAGATTTCAACAGAAACAGCTGTGGACTCAAGGCAATCATGACTACATTTCAGGAGCATTTCTAAATTGGTTTGGTTCACGTGTAATGCTAAGCCAAAGCATGGCTTATCAAGAATGGGCAAACAAATGGGTTCCCAGCATGAAGATCATGGCCACTGCACTCCTTCCCAGGTCCTGCTGCTGCCATGCTACCCAGGGCTAAGCCATTGTTTGCCTTAGTATTGCATCTGATCCCTTGCTCTGTGTTTGTCGCCCCAAAGCACAAATAATAAACCAAGAACAAACCTTAGTTATCACTTATAGTTTTCCTGGACCATGACAAACCATGAGAACTGATTTGTTCATAATGCTAAGCCAAACCAAGGCTTAGCCCTGGGTAGCATGACAACAGCAGAACTGGGAATGGGGTGGCAGCAGTTACGATCTACACTCTGGGAACCCAAGGTTGGTTTGTTCCCATTAAGACATGGTTTGGCTTAGCATTATGTGTGAAGTGGGTCATCATCTTATTTTGTGGGCAAATAATCAAGTTATAAGCTGTCACATAAAATATTTATGAATTGTAGGAGTGACTCATTAAAAGGCGCATCTTCCTAGCTTCATCCAAAACACAAGACCGTGTTACAGAACTACTCTTTCATCATGTCAACGAGCCCATCTTAGACCACAGGCTGGGCAAAAGTGGGTCACTAATAATGCAGTCCTATTCATATTTACTTAAGAGAAAGCCTGACTGAACAAAGTGAACCTCATTCCTGAGAAAGCATGCTTGGGCTCAGGCTACAAACCTGCCTTTTGCCTAAAATTAAAATTTCAAATGTCATGCATTTGGAAAAATTCTTTAAAGTCAGTTTGGATAAACGAGGAGGGCAAAGGTGCAGTTTTGAATATGGCCAGTGAGTGAAAAAGAAACGATTTAGTTTGGGGCTAGAAAGCAGCAGCTGTGGCAAACTTTCAGAGTGTGCTGCTGTTGGGGGATTGATGCTGCCTTGTGATTAAACACTGCTTACTTTCCTCTGCTCTGTCTGTACACCTGTGCATAAACATATAGACCAGGAGACATGTGAAGTATTGGGCAGTTTCTGCCTGCCAGGCAACTGACCCTGTGAAGCTTCCTCTAAACCCCCTAACATATGAAGCATGAAATGACTTGTCATAGATCAATGACTCAGGTGAACTGAGGAGGGAACCCTTTTCAAATGTGTGTATGCCATAAAACTGGCAAGCAGATCTGATACCTCAGAAGACAGGAATAAAATTCAAAATGACTCTGGGAGAATAGAAAACTAGGGTGAAATAAAGGGCTCATCCACATTTCTTTGTTCCCCATTTCTAGGCACTGTCCAGGGGTGAGCAGTTTTATTTATTTTTTGGCCCAGCGCTTTCCCCAGGAAAACCTGTTTTACCACTGAATTGGAGCAAATGGCAATCGGGTTTTTGCAGATTACTGCTGGTTCCAATTCAGCAGTAAAATGCAGGGTTTCCTGGAGGAAATGCAGGAACAACAAAATGAACATTCAGACATAGACCTGGAAAACCCCAGACCCTCAAAATGTCCCTATTTTCCAAGGACAGTCCCAGATTTACAGAAGCCGTCCCGGTTTCTGATTTGATCCAGGAATGCCCCACTTTTCCTTGTTGTTGTTGTTTAGTCGTTTAGTCGCGTCTGATTCTTCGTGACCCCATGGACCAGAGCACCCCATGGACCAGAGCACGCTTTTCCTTACGACATCCCTATTTTCGTCGGAGAAACGTTGGGAGGGTATGAAACCCAGAACTGTGCTTAGAAAGCATGGAGCAAAAGAACTGTGAGTATGGATGAGGACAAAATGAAAGTCAGCAGAGACAAACACAAAATTCTGGAGGGGAGGGGGGAATCAAATGCACAGGTTTAGTTAGGATGATTCCTGGCTTGGCAGCAGTACAGGTGAGAAGGATCTAGGGATTGTAGTCAGTTAGTTTTAACTCTGAGCATGGCTAATACTGGATACAACAAACCATGTCAAGTTCTGACTGCCACACTTGAAAAAAGAATTAGAAAAACTGGAACAGATTCAGTCGAGGGTAACAAAGTTGGTCAGGGATATGGAAAGCAAGTCTTACAAGGAAAGACTGAATCATGTTATGTTTAGCTGGGAGAAGAATGAGGAGAGGCACGGCAGCTCTTCTTCCTCCAGTAAGCAGGCCTAGATAAAATGGTTGTACATCAGGAGAAACTTAGGCTGAAGACAAGGCAGCATTATAAAATAGGCACAAGGGCAAATGTGTCTGGTGAGTGTTCTGTAGACAGGACCCCATGGTGAGAGAGGAAATTATGTGTATTCTGGAATGTTCTGTTAGTAAAGCAGTTGAACAATGCATTAATTACATATGACGTATAATTGTGTACCAGTTTAAAAGCTACCCCAGCTTTAAAAGCTAATAAATCATCATCTTGATCTCACAGCAAGAATAATCACTGGGTGTTTATTCAAGACTACACATGAATCACAATCACAAGGCCTTTTATATATAATTGGGGTGCTTTTATATGTTTCATCCTGACTAGAGCATTTTAGGTCACAGTCCTCAATAGGACTTTTGAGTATAGGATGTTTTGACTGTATTGTTATTCCTGTTCGTGTTCTGTTGTTGTGAGCTGCCTTGGAATGATGATTTATGATGAGAGGCAGGAGGAGGAGGAATACATCACTAAAATAAGTAACTACAAATAAAGGTGTATAAAGGAGTTTTTCTTTGAATGATTTTAGTATTTTATATTTATGTTGGTTTTGCAATTAATAAATCAATGGCAATAATAGTAATAATAGAAACAATAGCCTCTCCAAAAGGGAGAGAACGTGATGCTAGCATCCAATACCAATATGAAGGTCTAGCAGGCTTGCATGTTGAGCATGCTGCTTTATGAAGTGAGTCGTGGGCAACTTACAACCAGCAGGAGCAATGTCTCAACGCCTTCCACATACACTGTGTCAGGAAGATTTTGGGCCGGACAGTCTCAAACAAAAATGAGCTCTCTCAAACCCCCACTCCTGTCTCAGCAACACCTATGTTGGCTTGGTCATGTCCACAGAAGATGGTAGGATCCCCAAGGACACGCTCCACGGGGAGTTGGCTTCAGGTACCAGGCCTTGTTGGGAGACTAGCTCTGTGTTACGAAGTCTGAAAACACGACATGGAAGACTTGGCAACACCAACCCTTCTTCTGGGAGTCCCTTGCAGATGACCGCAGTGCCTGGAGACAGCCAGTCAGGTCATGCATCCATAGCAGTGACCAGAGGAATGACGGCTGGGAGTACAGAGAGAAGAAACACCACGTGCATCTGCAGAAGTATAATCAGATGCTTTCATCTTCCCCACTGCAACGTGTCTCTCTCACATCAGTCTCTACAGCCACGAGCAGGAGCTGCAACTCCTCTTCCATCGTCTGCTAAGACAGAGGGATGCTAACAGGTAAGGTGAACTGGTCTTCCTAACCAGCAGAATTAACAAACGACCGTTCTTAGAATCATTTTGGAGCAGTTAAAGTGCTGTAAAACGGATTGTGCAGACGTGGCCTTAAGTTCCCAGCACTTTATTGTGCCTAGCTCAGTTGGTAGAGCATGAGACTTAATCCCAGGGATGTGGGGTTTGAGTCCCACGTTGGACAAAAAGTTTCCTGGTGTTGTTAAGAAAAAACTGCTCCTTTTTTCCCTTATGGGGTATCCAAGAGCCCACATAGAGTCCTTACGTAGGTTCTCTATCGGTAGGAGAAAATAACAGAGGCCAACCAGAGAATATTAAGAAGCAAAGCAGCTAGTAAGCATGATCTTTATTAAATTGTTGTAACAGGGTTCCCCACTCAGGGAGGGAGAGGAACCTAGAACAATGGTGTGCAATCTCTTTATATAGACATTTGAAAATTGCCTCCCCTGTAGCTCAAGACCACCCCCCAAAACATCATACATACATCACTGAAGGGGCAGTCTACAGCAGAAAACCTGTCTGCCAGGACACCTGATTAATGGCCACTGATTGCTTTTACCTGGGCACCCTGGCCACTCTCTTGTGATGGTAAATACTGTTCCTGATCCAGGTCACAGGCTCACCCTGTTCATACACAGACACATCCTTAAGACAGGATTTGTGAGCAAAGAGATAATGGGGAGGCTTTCCTATTTCCTTCCTCCTTGCAGACAAACATTTGAGGTCAATTTGGGAGAGTCAAAATGGTTTCAGGATTGTTCTCCTGTACTGTTTCAGACACGTAGTTTATATATTGGAACTCCTATAACAATGCGTGGAAGGGGGTTCTGCTAGATGACCCCTTCCAGCTCTACAATGCTATGGTTCTACTCTGCGCGGCTTATGGAGAGCAGAGGCATCTTGAAGTGATTTAGGTGCAGTGTGTGGACGCGGCCCGACTGGCCCACATCCTTCCAACGGCTCAGCTCCTTTGTAACACCTGCGCGCGTGCGTAGCTGGGAGAGGCTCCGACCGCAGCGCGCCTGAGGCTGAGGCAGCAGCCTCACAATGCCTAATTATGTGGCTGAGGAGCGTCACGCCGCCGCTGCCGGCCTCCCCGCCTCAGGGGAGAGGAGTCCTCGGACTACGTAGCCGCCCGACGACGCTCCCTCGGCGCCAACGGTGGCGGCTAAAGGTCGGGACTGAGAGGCGGGAAGCAGGGCGGGCAAAGGAGGCGCGCGCCTGCGCGGCCGCGAGAACACCGCTCTGCGCGCGCGATGCCTGCCGGGAAACGTGCAGCCGCAGGCCGGATCCGAGGCTCCTCCTCCTCCACTCCCATCTCCATGGTAACCGCTCGCCTCTTCCGCCTCGCCGTGGAGGCGCTTCACGTGACCTGCTCTCTTCCCACCCCCGAAGCTGGGGAAGTCACGTGATGTTTGGATTATTATTTTTTTTGCTTCTTCCAACCTGAGCAAAGCTGTTTCCGGGTCAATACAGGACGAGGCGGCTGGACGGGTAGCCTAAAAGCGGTTGGGGTCCCGGTGAGGAAGAGGGGGAGGGGGGGACGGTGCAATGGTTTTAGTCAGGAGTGGGGTAGGGGGGGTGTTGGAGAATGTCACCCCCACCCCTACCAACTTCCCGTCAGGGCAGGCAGGAAGGCCCGACACGGAGAGGCAGGGGTTAAAAACCTAAATGGAAGAGGTTGCTGAGGTGCGAGGAGCCTCCATGTTCAGAGGCAGTCTACCTCTAAGCATTGAGGGGGGCGGTCACCTTTGTCCCTTGCTTTGGAGTCCCCCCTTCCCCGGGGCATTTGGCGTGCCAACTGTTGTCAAGCAGCGGGGGGAGGGGTTGCGTGTTGCCTGAAATAGTTAGAGGTAATCTTCCTCTGAAGTACTTAGATGTAGTAGTCAAACGAGAAGCGTGAGGGTGGCGGTGCTGCCTTCCTGGAATGATCAGGCTGGTTGGAACAAGATGCTGGAACAACATACAGTATTTAAGTAAGATGGTACCTGACTGGTTGATTTCAGAAACAGGATATTGAACTAGGCGGACATTTGGCCGGATCCAGCAGCGCCCCTAGGATTTTAAGAGCAGGAACGGTTGGGTGGCTAGGGTGACTAGATGTCATTAGGGACAAACCTTCTGCCGTAGAACAACAACAAGAAAGCGATGTGGGTTTGCAAAAGTTGTAAGGCTATAGCATCGGGGCAGCTGAGGACCACAGTGACAGAAAAAGCACTGTGGATCAGAGTGAGCTGATGATGGTACAGTGCTGAGGCTGGTGGGGCAAACTTCCACTGGCAAAAATTGCTTCTGTTTGAATTGTAGAGTTGGAAGGGACCCAGAGCGCCATCTGGTCCAAACCCTTGCAATACAGGAATCTCAACTAGAGCATGCATAACAGATGGCCATCTAACCACTGCTTAAAAACCTCCTAGGACAGAGAGTCCACCACCTCCCGAGGTAGTGTGTTTCACTGTCAAGCAGCTCTTACTGTCAGAAAGTTCTTGCTGATGTTTAGCTTAAGATGGTCACAACTTTCTTTTTACAATATGTGTAGCCAAAAAGAACACATTTGCCTTTTGAGAAAGAAGGCAATTCCTCTCTCCCATTTGCATACACCATTGTGCCCAATAGGTAGTTGTGGTAAGCAGAGGTTGAATAGCCATCTGTCATTGATGCTTTAGTTGAGACTCCTGCATGGCAAGGGGTTGGTCTAGATCCCTTAGGATCCCTTCCAATTCTACAGTTCTTTGATTCTCTGATTATTTGGGGGAAGACTTAAGCTTGACGCTTTTGGCACTGGCATAGCTTGATTATGTTAGGGGTTTTTTAAGGCTAAAACACTCTGCTATTCATTAGTTTTGTCAATTTTGAGGTTTGGAGAGGGCTGGTTATGAGATTACTTATTGTTGATCTATTGACTCACAAAAACCGTTTCAGATTACAGGCTGATATTCCTGCTCTTTGCACAGCATAGACTTTAGATTTAAAAATGGCGACTCATTCAAGGACACACATTGCATGTCCTTGGCTGATTTTAAAAAAAGGTCTTCTAGGAGTGAAGTTGGTTTTTTTGTTTTGTTTTTTAGTATTCGTTCTTAAACCTTAGTGCATAACTAGCAAATTAGAAGGACCGTGGTGCTTTAGGTATTAATCATTTAAATATGTGTTTCTGCATTTCTGGTAGTTATATGGCTGTCATTATCCATTCCATCACAGAGCAAACAAATGGTGCATGTTTAGTTAATATCCAGCTTTTAGGAGTATGCTTCAGCTGTAATGGAATTTACTGAAAAAGTAATTTAAAACACATTACTTCCAAATATGAGAGGTGCTATCAGGAAGTCTGCACCTTTCTCTTCAGGAAAAAGGAACATAAAAGTTTTCCCAGCTGCATCCGTCGACGGTCCACCTTCCTAGTCAAGCATTCTGTTTCTAACCCCGGGCTCTTTACTGCCTTTTCCTAGTGTCTGGGTGTTAGGGTAGGGGCAGTACCACCAGTGGAGGACACATGGTGTTCCTCCTGGGTTAGTTTGTCTACCTTTGGTCCCTACCCTGCACTCAGCTCTCACCTGTGGCTCCTAGAAGCTGTCAGCACACTCCAGGGACTGCTTCCACTGGCCGGCTAAACCAGAGGAGGGTTAGCCGATGGGTCTCAAACCCTTGGTGAGTTAGGGACTTCCCCCTTCATAGCGGTTTGAGTGGATGAGACCAAGAGTGGGTCCATTGATCAAGAAGGCAGTTTCTGCATGTGCTGTAGAGGGAAGTGAGGAGCGGATGGGGTTCGTCAACCTGGGAAAGTAGCCCATGTAGGAGAAGGAAGACTGATCCTAAACCTCTGCTGCCTTGCAGGTCGTATTTGGGAGATGAAAAGACTTAAGGTATAAACCCTACACAAATCCAGAGTGGAATCCCTAAGACGGTTGAATGGCACCATATGTCTACCTAGCCCAGCATTGCCTATGCCAACATATGACTGACTTGTTGTATGGAAACTTCCGATGAAAAGGAAACATAAGTACAAGACTGAAAATAACTTTTTTTGCACAGCTAGCAGCTTCCTCTGTTCAGTAATCAATACCAGCCTCCATTTCAGTTACTAAGCTTCACAAAAAAGTTTCAAGGAAAGCAGAGCAATGCATTTGGCCCCAGCTTGGCTGCAGGAGTTGTCGGAAGGCGGCGTACAACACACCATCCAACTGGCTTAGGAACTCTGCTCTGGATTTGTGTAGGGTTTACTCCTTTTTTTTCTGAAGATGTCGTGCAAAGCAATGGAGGTTTAGGATCAGAGTTTTCCGTCTACCTTCTAAGGTTGATAAGCCCTATCTGCTCCTGTTCCCTCCACAGCATGTGCAAAAACTGCCTTCTTTATCGTTGGTCAAGAGATTATTGATCTTGTCTGCTCAATCCACCAGAGCTTGTCTTTGCATGCAGGGAAAGTTCCTAACTCACCAAGGGTTTGAAACCCATTGGCTACCCTCACCTAGTTTAGCCAGCCAGTCAAAGTCATTTCCCGGGGTGTGGCTGCTGAAACATGCTGACAGCTTCTAGGAGCCACAGGTGAGAGCTGAGTGCAGGGTGGGGACCAAAAGTGGATAAACAGCCCCAGAAGAAGCACAATGTGTCCCCAACCAGATGTACGACCCCTTCCCTAATACACCATACATACCTTGGAAGGTGTATTGTAGCTAAATAATGCAATAAGGTACTTCTGCTCATGGTATATACTTTAGCAATATGATAAACCTTTTGGTATATTTGTAGTATGTAATAGATAAGTCATAATGGAAGATTTTCCAAAGAATCCACTTATTGGGAGTAATAGCTCAGCTTTTAGGGCGTGTCTTTTTCTTGTAGTTTAGAGCTTCTGACTGAGGACATTTTATTTTTTTCAGTTGAATCCTGACTTTTGGGAAAGAGGAACATGGGTTTCTAATACCATGAAAATCTCCTCAGTAGTGTTATAGTGTCCTTCAGAAAAACTGAAGAAATAATTTGCTTCTGATTGACTTTTTCATTTGCATTCTCCATCTTTAAAGCTGAGGCCTGCCTCTTTAATAATTTCTGCTTCTCAGATTGCAAGTGGCTTTAAGTTTGCTTCTTTTCAGGGGGGAAAGTACACTCGGATAAAAGGTTACTCAGCTCCCATGTATGGATTTATTGTCACTTTAGTTTTTGTGATAAAATTACTCCAGTAAGCCTGATGATCTGTACAGTATGCCTTTCTAAATCTCAGAAGCGGCAGCTGGTGTTCGACCTATAGAACCCTTTCACTTTTAATAATTCCTCCGTAAAGTTTCTTGATTTTTATTTCTGTGCTCTTTTCACTAAAACAGGCTGCAGTAAATTCCTGTGCGTATGTAGAATACTAGCTTATTAGAGGAGAAACGTTTGAGTTTCAAGAACATTTTGTTTGATGTTGTAGTGTGTGGTAAAGGTAAAGGGACCCCTGACCATTAGGTCCAGTTGTGGCCGACTCTGGGGTTGCGGCGCTCATCTCGCTTTATTGGCTGAGGGAGCCGGCGTACAGCTTCCGGGTCATGTGGCCAGCATGACTAAGCCACTTCTGGCGAACCAGAGCAGCGCACGGAAACGCCGTTTACCTTCCCGCGCAAGCGGTACCTATTTATCTACTTGCGCTTTGACATGCTTTCGAACTGCTAGGTTGGCAGGAGCTGGGTCTGAGCAACGAGAGCCCACCCCGTCACAGGGATTCGAACTGCCGACCTTCTTATCGGCAAGTCCTAGGCTCTGTGGTTTAACCCACAGCGCCACCCACGTCCCATAGTGTGTGGTAGGCTGCTGCTAATATTTTTTATACCAGAAAAGATGCAATTGGGATATGACCTATCCACCATTCTGCTGGAAGAACTTCCTAATTTGGGGCTATCAAATATAAGCACCAAGGAATCCTTACCAAGGCTACATCATTGGTAAGGAAATGAGGCCTTTAATAGGAAAGCAGGCTAAACCAACACTTGACAGTGATAGCATAGTAGTGTTCTCTGCTTAAGAATCCTGCTGGGTCAGGCCAAAAGCTCATGTAGTTCAGCATCCTGTTTTCCAAGTTGGCTAACCAGATGCATCCAGGAAGTCAACAGGCATGGCTTGAAGGCTGTTTTCTTGCTGATAGCCCCTGCAGCACAATACTGGTGACACTCTTATCTTCCATGAATTTCACTTAAGCTAGTGCCCATTGCTTCTTCCAAGCAGCATTCAAAATTCACCAGGTGTATTTTGCACTTGACTATGGCCACTTGCAACCAAGTGAAGATGCCTGGGCACCAGGATGGCTCCTGACATCTCCACCATCTGGAGACGCATTCCTGGGGATCCTTGGATCTTGACTGTTTTCACACACACTAACAGCACATCTTGTAGAATTCTACCTGTTATATTCTATCTGCACAATCAGAATGAATTTCAGGAAGCAAAAAGTCCTATTGCAAAATACGACTTTTGATCTGTCAGGCCTAGATTATATATCTTAAGGTTCTAACACAAGAAGTGTATGGCTGGCTTCTTTGGAAAACAGAAACCTAGATCAAATGAACCTTAGTTTGATCCAGAAAGGCTGCTATTATGGGTTGTATCCAATGCAGTGCTATTTTAAAGTCACTTAGCAGTATATTTGTCATCATTGGCCAGAGGAATGTTGTGCAATCTGTAATTCTTGCATTGGATTCCTCTTGCTTAAGGGCCCTTGTGCTGGCAGGCAGAGAACACTGGATACAGCCTTGTGCTTTTAGAAGAGAGAATTAAATTGTTCGGTTTTTCTCAAAGCAAATAATGTTGCTTACAGTCTTCCTTTTCTCATCCACCTTTCACCACCCCCCCCCCAAAAAAACCCCTTTGCAGTGAAATACATGGACATGTGATGTTTCTCCTCTGAAAACATGGAGTGGGTTCTCCTGAATGCCATCTGCTGAGATTCACATCTGTTAATTTAGGGAGAGCTGATGCTGAGACCGGTAAGTAACCCCTTGAAATAGGCTTATAGTGTATTCTGCTTGGTTAGACCTAAGGTGTTCTCATTTATGTGTCTTTTTGACTACTGTGGTTCATAATTTTAAAATATGCACACAACCCCAAAGGGAACCTCCTGTTCAAAGGATCAGGTAACACGTTATGTAAACATTCTCTGCCTAGGTGGGCAAGTAGCCTAACCAGGTAAAAAGGAGCTTCCTAGGTTTCATCCCTGAGCGAGGCTGATGGGAACGTACAGCAGTGAGTCAGTTGATAACCTTTGTTGAATGGGTTTGTTTGGCTCACAGGCAGGGGCCAACAGATCTTTGATTAGCCAGACCTGTGGTTTCCAGGATCCTTCCTTTCCTCCAGTGCGGCGGCAAACAGAGTCTTATATCTAGCATCATACAGAGTTTCAGGACACCTCTGGAGTGCAGCATAATCTTAAGAGGACATCTCTCAGCCAGCTCCAGACTTTGAAGGGGGCTTGAGTGTATCTGTCTGCTGCATTCTTGAACTGCTTGGAACGCCTCCCAAGCACTTCCCAGAGGTGAGGGAGACACTTGCCAGCACACGTGTGTTTGTGCACCTGTGACCGCTTGTCATTTATATCTCACATTTCCTTTATTTCTTACAGTACGCAGCTGGGGGAATTCCTGACCGCCAATCCCAAACAGACAGAACGGCTGCTTACTTGTGTTTTTCCAATTGGTCTCGCTTAAGTAGGAGAATGGATCCTGATATTCGCTGCTGCAAAGTGTAATTTAGTTTTGTTTGTGTGTCTCCCACCCCCGAACTCTAGAGTTTCAGGAAGGGACCATGGATCTGCCCAGTGGGAGAAGTTTCATGCAAGTTCTCTGTGAGAAATACAGCCCCGAAAACTTCCCGTACCGTCGTGGTCCTGGAATGGGCGTTCATGTCCCAGCTACACCTCAGGGCTCACCTATGAAAGGTACAATTTCTGGCTGCCTCTTGACTTATGTCGGAGTGTGTTTCTCTTGTCTGACAGTCCAAGGGACATGGTTGAAAAGTTGTTTGAGATGGGGTTCCTTATTCAATCTTTCCTCCAATTATATGAATGGGGGGAGTGGCTGAAATTAGATCTAGTTTTCTTTCCATAATGCAAACTCCCCTCCCCACCACACACACACACACAACATACCATGCAGCGTAATTTTAAAGTGCTGTCAGGTTGATTTGTATCGCAACCATCCCCAAAGGGAGAAGAACGAGGAAATTATTTGGGTGGAAATGATGGTAACTGAGTTTGACAGAAAAGAGCAGAATTAAGTTGAGTCAGTCAAGGACAGAATGCACCATATGTCACTCAAAATGAACCACAATGGAGTCACCTTAACAAAAACTTCCAGGCTAGTCCTCTAAAGTCTTCTTTTGTGGGCCTAGAAATGATAAAAAAGTCACCTTATCCATGAACCTATTCCATCTTCTAACATGCTGAAATAATACTGTATATGTTGCAGCAGATTGCCCGTCTCATATTTGATGTGCAGCCCTCAAAATGCCCCCTCCCCTCTGCTCAACAGCTCCCAAAATGCACAGTTGATCTTACACTTGCCCTGTTCACATTCTTACCTATTATGTTGTTGTTCACATAGAAGCACTTTAACATACAGGGAGGTAAGAGCTTACTACATGATTCCATCTTTGATGTTGCCATCGAGCGTATTCAGCAAACAGTCTTTTTGAATGTTCTTGCTGATTTCCCCTCTTCAGTGGTTGTCATAATTCACCGTCTCTGACATCTTAAATGGGGTTTGGGATCCTGTTCAAAATAGCCACCTGGTTGCATAATACAATTTTTGCGTGTATTGGACTCATGATGAACTCATCATGTTGCAAAAGCTGGATCCTGAGCTGGGGTATGTGATCAGGTTGTCTCAGGTTTGGGACTGTTACACTCAGTCTTCAGAAGTACACATGTCATGATTTTGCACCAAAATCAAAATTTATTTATTTATTTAAAAGCATTTATATACTGCTTAGTATTTCAAAAATATTGTTAAGTGGTTACAGTTTGAGAAACAGGACAATATATCATTAAAACAGAAACACAACCTAAAAATGGGAGAACAGCAAAATTGGAAGCACACGAAAACAAATTTGGACGATTCAAACAAATAAGCCTCATAAGAAAATGCCTATTTACAGAGTGGCATCCGACTCAGTCTTAGAGAACTATTGAAATCAATTATTTTGTTGTTGTTGTTATTATTATTATTATTTATATACCGCCCTATACCCACAGGTCTCAGGGTGGTTCACAGAATAAAATCAGAATATAAAACTACAAAATACATAATCAAAATAAAAACAACAACAAGACCCCCTCAACACACTATAAAAGGGCATAGGATGTCAATCAAATCAACCAAAGGCCTGGTTAAAAATGAATGTTTTTGCTGGCGCTTAAAGGTGCATAAATGAAGGTGCCAGGCGAACTTCCCTGGGGAGAGCATTCCACTTCAAGGGACTGAAGTCAGGCATGACTAAAACTCATTGGTTTCAATGGGTCCACTCTGCCCTAGATAGCAACCACAGATTTGGGTTTCGTTTTTTTAATTGTAAGACATCTTCCTTCCACCAAGTGAGAGCTGAGGCAATTCATGGCATGTCAATAAAGCATCATGAAAGCAGCTCTTGATAACAAAAAATAACTGACCCATATACACATATGAATGGCAATCAGGATGAATTTTCGGTGTACCCTTACTGGGAATTCCAGATGCTGAACCAGATGTGATTTTGCAGTCCTTGACATGGGGACATCCTGAATAAAGTAGTAGTCTTCAACTTTTTCACATCTGGTGACCACTGTTAATCTCATCCTACACAGCAACCCACTTAATTCTTAATTGTAGTTACTGGCTACATCTGTCTTTCCCCCCTTCTCTCGCTCTCTCTCCTCCTCCTCTTTCCAGAACTTAGAAATGGTGCCACCAGTATGAGCAGCCTTAGCTCTGAGCAAAACCCAGTTTTGGGTCATCAGCTATCTTTTTTTGAAGGCCAGTTAACTAAGTGACTTTGGGACAGTCTCAGTGTTATTTTTACCTATGGCTGTCTATAAAATGTCTGCAAGGAAGAAAAGCACCTGAAGGCCTGAATCTTTGTAGCAAGTGAATTATCACATATACAGTGGTACCTCGGGTTAAGTACTTAATTGGTTCCAGAGGTCCGTTCTTAACCTGAAACTGTTCTTAACCTGAAGCGCCACTTTAGCTAATGGGGCCTCCTGCTGCCGCCGTGCCACCGGATTTCTGTTCTTATCCTGAAGCAAAGTTCTTAACCTGAAGCTCTATTTCTGGGTTAACGGAGTCTGTAACCTGAAGCGTATGTAACCTGAAGCGTATGTAACCCAAGGTACCACTGTAGTTAACATAAACCAACCTGACGAGGCAAAATTGCTTATGAATGTGATGCATTGCCCATTGCTTCATTAAGCAATTTTTTTCACCAGTTATCGTGTGATCTGACTCGGTTTCCCCCAGCTTGTACAGGCGATTCTTTTCATCTGCTGAAATGAGACCACCCCACAAATTAATGTGCTGTCATTCCTGCCTTTCCAGATCGTCTCAACCTCCCAAGTGTGCTGGTGTTGAACAGCTGTGGAATAACCTGTGCAGGGGATGAGAATGAGATCGCTGCCTTCTGTGCTCATGTGTCCGAACTGGATCTGTCTGACAATAAACTAGAAGACTGGCATGAGGTAGAGGAGATTGTTTGAACAGTTACACAGACAGCTGCTTTTGCTGCAGGCAGATTTGGCTGCTCCAGGTGGATTCTAACTCACATTTGGAAATGCCAGCTCAGCTTTATTGTGATGGACCCAAAGCTTGTTAATCTGGGAGGCTTTTGAACTTCTCCCACCTTCCATTCCTTCTCCCAACTTCCCTGGAGCATGAGCTTCCTCTTCCTGAATCAGTAAGGCCTACTCTAACTTCCATTTCTCAGCTCATGAGTCTCTTTAGGGCACCCAACACCCATCTACTGCCCTGTGTGGCTCCTGCTAAGCTGCCACAGTTTCACCTACCATATGGGAGATAAAAAGGTAAAGGGTCCCCTGACCATTAGGTCCAGTCGTGGCTGACTCTGGGGTTGCGGCTCTCATCTCACTTTATTGGCTGAGGGAGCCGGCGTACAGCTTCCGGGTCATGTGGCCAGCATGACTAATCCGCTTCTGGCGAACCAGAGCAGTGCACGGAAACGCCATTTACCTTCCCACTGGAGCGGTACCTATTTATCTACTTGCACTTTGACGTGCTTTCGAACTGCTAGGTTGGCAGGAGCAGGGACCAAGCAGCAGGAGCTCACCCCGTCGTGGGGATTTGAACCGCCGACCTTCTGATCGGCAAGTCCTAGGCTCTGGTTTAACCCACAGCGCCACCCGCGTCCCTTATTTGGGGATAGTTGCCCTCTAACTTGGTACCTGTTCAATTTCTCTGGGGTTCCATCTGGCTTGTGAAACACACCTGGCTGTTACCAGCATATGGAAAGATGGTTTCAAAGAGGTCAATCAGCTTCATGAATTCCTTACTAGGAGTATACTTGGATCAGTGTGCAAGAGGGGTTGGAAGCTAACATTGCTGCACCCTCCTATCCAACCTTCTGAAAGCCCTTAATTGTCCCTGTCTTTCCCCACCCCACCCCCAACCCTTGAGGAATTTGAATCATGCCTACTTGGACCTACGTGGAGTTCTGAATGTGCTCCAGTCAATAGTATGCCAGTCTCGTAGTCATGACCGTCCAGCGGAATGGCCATGTTAGTTTGTTGCAGTGAAAGCAACAAAGATTGCATTCAAACATCAGCACATAAAGGCCTGAGATCCCGGGCTCATGTGCTCCATCTTTCCCCTTCCCTCATACACAAGAGAGGAGATGGTGGCAAAGTGCAGTTTACCATTTTGTCTGGACCTGACAAATTACATTTTTATGCAAAAAAGTAATCAAATTGTGATGTGGACGCTTGGTTTGTAAGCAAACTATGGTTTGTGCAAACCTTAGTTTGTCAGGTCTGAAAACGCTACTTGTCTTGTAAGAACGTAAGAGCAGCCCTGGTACAAGCCCAGCATCCCACATCACTTCCCACAGTGGTCAACCAGGTATCCCTGGGAAGCCACAAGCCGTACACCAAGGTACCCTCTCCCACAGTTCAGAGCACGATCGTCAAGAGCTCTGATCAGACGACACAAGAGATGTGGGAAGGCAAAGACAGACATGATGGAAGTGGCTCACTGCCACTGTCTTTTCACATCCACCAGACAGTGTGTGCATATTCTAATCCTGGAGACCAGAGGCTGTGGTACATGTGCTCACATAAGTCATTTGGGGGAATGTATATATGTGAGGAGGTGGGGCCATTTGCTGCCATGCATGCTATATGTTGGCAAACCTTAGGGGTCACAGCCCTTCAGGGCCTGAAACTTAGGACTGGCAGGGGCCTTTCAAGGGACATTTCCAAGTCTGGCAAGCCAAAAGTCTTCTAACTAGCAATGCCAGCTATTGCATCTTGGACTGAGTTTTCTGCATTGCAGGGGGTTGGACTCGATGACCCTTGGGGTCCCTTCCCACTCTACAGCTTTGTTATTCCATGACTGTTCCATGTGCAGATCAGCTGCTTTGCCACTGAGCTGTGGGTACATTCCGCTTGAAATAACACCCTGGTTCTCTGTTGGTTCTAAAACAGTCCTGACTACATAGCCTCTGTCATTGATGCCCCAATTGCTTTATCGTATCAGGGCCCACCTACCACGAAAACTTGCCTGGTTGTAGACTTGAGGTTCGTTTCCTATTCTTTGAGCCAGTACTACTAATGACAGTTCGTTCAGTTTCGTACCACATCTCTTTATAGCCTATTTTGTTAAATGAGGTTGATTTTGGTTGCAAGAGAGAGTGAAGTAGGTAAGGAAGTTTGTAGCAGCAACTCAAGGTAGGGATGCAAAGCCAGAGACAATATGAGATGGTCCATTCCCTGAAGGCTGCAGCCTTCTGACCACAGAACTGCTTGATTTTTTTCCAAACTGAAGCCCTAAGAGATCTAGGAATTTGCTTTGTGGAGTGGGGCAGAATGAAAACTCAGAATCTCTGGAATAAAAGTTCTTTCCTGGAAATGGAATTCAGTGCATGCAAGATGGCAGAAACAATGAATAACCCTTGGTAAAATAGCCCTTTTGACCAATGTTGGCTCTTGAGAGGCGTTTTGTTCCCCCTTTAGCTGCCATTCAAGTAGATTTTATGAAGCCTGCCAGCGATCTGGTTTTTCCCCTTATCACAGTTTTTTTTTTAAAAAAGTGTAATTAAATGAAGCATTGAGGTGAACAAGCAATTAGCCAATCAATCTAGATCTGCGAATAGCAGCGGTATGAATTACAGATAACTATCTTGAATGCTGTTAGAATTCGTATCATTCTTTAAGTCAGTGAGCCGTACTGGGAGTTTGGGTCCCATCCTGACCTGTCGTTATCCCAGCCCCCATGGACAGAATATTTGAGATTTGATTACTGCCTGATATGCTTTTCTTTCTCCTTTTTTCTTCTTCTTTCTCTGCTCAGGTCAGTAAAATTGTGTCAAACGTCCCCCACCTGGAGTTTCTGAACCTGAGCTCCAACCCTCTGAATCTGTCGGTCTTAGAGAGGACGTGTGCTGGGTCTTTTGCCGGCATTCGGAAACTTGTGCTCAACAACAGCAAAGCATCCTGGGAAACGGTCCATACAATACTGCAAGAATTGCCAGAGTAAGCCTGGAGCAGCAAGGGCAGGTGCCCTTTACGGACAGATTGGCGTATCAAACAGCAAGTAACAGAAGTTTGTGCATTGGATCAGAAGCCCCCAGTTCAAAGCCTGTTGCAGCCGTGAAATTCATTTAGGAAAACAGCTATAGGATTGCTAGTCCTACTTAGAGTAGACCCATTGAAGTTAATAGACATAACTAACCTAGTAGCTCAAAATGTTGTACTAGTCCTCTTGCCCCCATGTAGCTGTGTTAGTCATGACGGCTTGAGTTGATTGCAACCTGTTGCTGTCAGTCGGGCGAGTGGCTGTTCTGAAGCTTGTCATTGTTAGCAGCCTGTTGCATTTATGATAAATAGTTTGCATGTATACCATATTTTAGAATGTTCAGAGAGCTTTAGCTACATTAATCCCTACAGTAACTCTGTAAGGTAGACCAGGATGCTGAGCTGTTTTAACCTTAGACAAAAGAGGTGGTTAATTTGCAAGCTCATGTAGAGGCGAAGAGTTGAACCAGGACTTCCTAATATAGAAGAAAGTCTTCTTCTCTGCTTCCTACGTAGGGCTGTTCTACACAGTGCCATGTAATAAGGTGGTAGAGTGGATTGAACCACTTTGTAGTGCAGGTAGGAGTCTATGTACATGAATGCACCAAATTCCCTGCAAGTAGCACTTCGGCATAGGCAAAGTGCTGGACTAGATCTTTTCTCTCTGCTGTGCTACCTTTCTGCTTTCAGGGATTTTATTTTTATGTGGTGGTGAGCATTCAGAAGTACTTGTGCTCCGCCTGTAGTCTGAAGTGCTCCAGCTATGTCACCTGAACAGTCCACAACCTCATTCTGCTGTATTTCAAAGGATTTGTGCCACATAAAGATAATGTTATTTCCAATATCGCACTAACTCTGAACTGCCAAGTGCACTGATGCAAAGCCCTGCCCCCCAATCTTGATTTGCAGATGGTGGTGCTCCGGTGTGTGTGTGTGTGTGTGTGTGTGTGTGTGTGTATATATATATATATATGTGTGTGTGTGTGTGTGTGTGTGTGTGTGTGTATAATTTTATTAGTTTTTTTAACATATCATTTTCAACAGTAATTAAATATACTTTTACATCTTATTCAAATTTTTGACTTCCATCAATCCTGTCTGAAAATTCTCCAATCTAATCTCTCGGTATGCATTTCTTATCTTCCCTATTACATTTCAAACTCATAACCAATATCTCTATCTTTTTCTACTTTGTAACACTTTGTATATTTCTCCTTACAAAACTTCTTGTAGTCCTACTAACATAATTTGTTGATTACAGTTGCTCTTCAAATAATTCATATACTTCTTCCAATCTTCTGTAAATCTCTGGTCCTGTAGGTTTCGAATCCTTTCTGTCATTTTGTCCAATTCTGCATAGTCCATTAATTTCGTCTGCCATTCTTCTTTCGTCAGAATTTCTTCTTGTTTACATTTCTGGGATAACAATACTCTTGCCGTAGTTGTTGCATATAAAAACAATTTAACATCTTGCCTATTAATGTCCTGACTTATAATACCAAGTAAAAATGCTTCTGGTTTTTTAAAAAATGTATATTTCAACTTATAGCTTATTTCTATTTCACTAGAAGCCTTGGACATATAATAACATTTAATTTTTTCTTCTTGCAGCTTGGAGGAACTCTTCCTGTGCCTTAACGACTATAAAACAGTGTCTTGTTCTCCAGTTTGCTGCCACTCTCTCAAGCTGCTCCACATAACTGACAATAATCTCAAAGACTGGACTGAAATCCGAAAGTTGGGGATAATGTTTCCATCACTGGACACACTGGTTCTGGCCAATAACTACCTGACAGCCATTGAAGACTCAGAAGATTCTCTGGCAAGGCTGTTTCCACACTTGCGATCCATCAGTCTGCACAAGTCAGGTGAGGTCCCCAGTGAAACATGCCCTTCTGGATCCAGATTTAAGACTTGCTATAAATCTTTCTAACATCCACACACACTTCAAATCTTGCAATTGAATGTGCTGCCTCTATCAACATGATCTTGTTAATATGGTAATGAGAAGGAAGGAAGCATTGGTCTGTGCCCACATTTAAATTTTATTTTGGTTTTATTGCTGACTCCTAAACTACACCTCATCACTTATTTCCCAGTGGACCAGTGTTCTTCAGCATCTGCCCGTGCAGTTTCCTAAAGCATGAAGTTACTGTACTGTGAAATACTATCTTGTTTACCATTGATGTATTAGCCTAGTTGACTGGCTCTTGATTGTTTTTTTGTGATCATGGACAAGGAGCGATGGGAGAGGGTATTGGGAGATACAAGCTTTTTAGAAAAATGAGGATGGCACATCTCATTAGAATTCAAATTCATTTTTCCCATTCCTCAAGCCCTGTGGGTCAGGAGTGGGGCACTCCAGATGTTGCTGAACCACAATTCCCATCAGCCCCAGCAAGCATGGCCGTTGGCCAAAGGATGTTGGGAGTTGTAGTTGTGCAGCATCTGAAGGCAAAAGATTCCCTGTACCTAGTTTAGCTTCTTCTTATATTTTTACTGCTTGTGTGTGTATGAGAGGGTGAGTTGGACACCAAAGGGATTTTCTGCTTGATTCACTAGCATGCCCTTGGTTTGCCTCTGTGACAGGCTAGGTCCATGCATTTGGCAAACTGAGGCAGTCATGAAATACTAGAATCCTGAGAGGGTAGAACAGTCTTCATCACATCAGACTGAGATACGTTTACATGGGTGAACATTCAAAAAATGTTCTGCCACGTCCACCCAAAAATGGAAGTGGTCCAATCCATTGTATTACCTGATTTGACTGCTTCCATAGACTAGGCTTGAGAGTAATTTATAATTCTGATTGCACATGTACTGGTGGAATGTCAACGTCTCCTTGTTTTCCCCAGTCGATTTTATGCACAGACACAAGAACACCCAATTACTTTGATTTGCCTTCCTTCCCTGAACACTCCCTTTCTTTAAAGCAGGTCTGCAATGCTGGGGAGACATCGACAAACTCAATTCTTTTCCCAAGCTCGAGGAAGTGAGGTTACTGGGCATTCCTCTCCTTCAGCCATACACCAATGAGGAGCGCAGGAAGCTGGTAATAGCCAGGTCTGCAGATGTTTTTTGTTGTTGTTCTTGGTTGACTCTGAGTTAATGCAGCCAAAATAGTGTGGCCTTTAAAACTTTTGATGCCTCCCTGGGCTCCATTGGGAGGAAGGGCCAGATACAAAATTAATGAATGATTAAAGCAAGCATGAATGGCTCAGATTTTTGAGCAGGTAGAGTGTGGGAGTAGCTGTGGGAAACGGCCTGTATGTGGAGTTGACAACTGTTGAGTCGTATGAGCTCTGAACTCTTTACTCCTGGGGGGAAGATAGAAGCAGGAAATAATATTCTCTTGTGGGTGTTAAATTATTCCACATATTGTGAGGAGCTGCCACCTTGCTTCCAAACATGCCAAAATACCATCCTTGCATCCGAACTGAAGGAACTATGGGGAAATCAGACCAACAGTAAGCTTTCTGAGTCGAAGCTGTTACCTCAGTTTTGGTTAAGTGCATTGCTGAGTACCAGAGGAAGGAAGTTGTCCTGGCTTGGTTGCGGATTGGGCAATGATTACTCATCAAAATCTTTTGAGGGGGAGTCCCCATCCATCAACATGCCTTATAGTGTTCTCACTTGTCAAAAGGAGCTTTCTTGAGTGCTAATTATTTTCAAGCGCTCAGCAGGTCTTTTCCCATAAATGCAGTTCTCTGTTCCGAACTCAGCCTCAGTTCTGGGGGACAGTGTTGATCTATAAGCCTTATTCAGGTTCCTGAACTCTTTTGGCTAGCTGTACTCTTTTTAAGAATGTTTGGATTATTGAGAATAAGTCTGATGAAAGAATTATCCCACATTTCCTACAAGCTAGCAACATAGGCTAGGTGCTGCTGAAACGAACTTCAGTGTATGTGTTCTTTGCATAAAATCTGTCATCTTGGCTAAACATGTTCATGGCTAAAACTCTGCACTTGGAACTTAAAATTATATAGCTTTGTTTACATGTTTAAAAGACAAATGCCCCACTTTTCTATCTATTGAAGTAGCTTATGGAAACAATTTTTTAAAAATTATTTCGATTTAAGTATTTCATCTAATCATAAAACAACTACAACAACAACAACAACAACAACAACAACAATAATAATATAATAATACTTTATTAAATTTGTATACTGCCCCATACCCACAGGTCTCAGGGCTGTTACAGCATAAAATCGCAATATAAAAACACAAGTTACATTAAAAAATAATAATAACCCCCTTTCCCCAAATGCAAAATCTCAAACAGAAACTAACATTCAGCAATTCCCCATCTTTTTGCATTTGTGGAAGTCTTTTTCTTCCACAATTTTTTTCCACAAATTTCTTTTTCTTCCACAAATTTCTTCCACAAAATCCTTTCCTTTTTGCATTTGTGGAAGTCTTAGGAGTAGACCACTATCAGACATGACCAAAACATTTGCATCTCTAACTTGCCTTCCTGTCCTTACCTGAGGGTTGGCTGCCTTTCTGTTTGAATTCTGCACAGTCGGGAGGCAACACTTAACAAATGCCTTGCTGAACTTACAATACTTTGAGTGCCAGTATTTATTTTTATTTTTATTTTGAAAAAAGCTCTTTTGAAATCCTGTCACATATGCATTTATGTTCAAATTTTAACACGTGGTTTCGGATTAAATTCTCTTCGCCAAGGCACCTGCATAATAAAACACATTTCCTTTAAGAGTTCATGTTTTCAATTATCTGGGGAAATCCCATGGGAATGCAATGCTCATCATTTTGCTGTTGTCTGTTAAATTTGGGGGGTATTCTTTTTTCCCTTGTTGAGATGGTAACATTTCCACCTCTTTTGAACATGGCAGGTTACCGTCTATCAATAAGCTGAACGGGAGTGTCATTTTGGAAGGAGAGCGAGAGGACTCTGAGAGGTTTTTTATTCGTTACTACATGGACTTTCCACAAGAGGAAGCCCCTTTCAGGTGAGAACTTCTGATCCCAGAAGTTTTAGAATAGGAAATGAGTTTGTTTAAAGTCCTTGAGTCATGTATGTACCATAGTTCCTAGAAACTATGAGCTGTAAACTGAGATCTCACCTTTGCCACATGCTCATTAGATTCCCTATCTGTCATCAGTGTAGATATAATAATACTGACCTTCTTTTCAAGGGTATTGTTAGGATTGCTGAATCTAAAATGCTAGACAAATGTTAAATTGTATGGTCAAAGTGTGAATATTTTCACCTGTTTATCATTTATACCATATTGTCAGTGTCCCTGGCACCTTACAGTTTTATGTTGGCAGGATGTGTCTGTTAGTTCTGTGTAAGTGATTGATACTCCCACCTCACTAAGCTGAGCCCCTACTGAGAAGTCAGCATCCTCTGGGAATGGGTTCCAGTCTGTCAGTTCGGTGCCAGCACTCAGTGGCTAATCCTCTTGCCATCTGGTGTTTAAGCACCCTTGAGTTCCAGAGACGTATGTGCCCAAACCGAATGTATTTAGATGGCATCGCCTGTGTGCCATTTTCATCCTTCCTTCACAAAGGAGTGAAAACTTGGCCATGCTCCAAGCCATCAGCTGGAATGCCTGGCTACTCGTTGGCACTTTGCATTCCCAAGCACAAGAGCAGTTTTGAAAAGGGTTCCTTGTTCTCTCTCTCTCTCTCTCTCTCTCTCTGGGGCAGAGTCAGGTGTGCAGGCTGACCTGACCGCTGGAAAAAGGTGTGGGGTTAAGAGGAGAAGGCAGGAGGCCCAGCTGCAGAGAGGCCACTCCAGCATGGGGGCTGATACAACTTGGTGGCAGCCTTCTCTAATGGCACCAGAGTGTACTAACCTGTCTAAAGGAATCCTTCAAAAACTTTTTTTAAAAATGCCACAGTGTGCAACTAGCAGTCCACAGGGCAGCACTTCCTGGAGCAGTCTGTCTTCTAAAAGGGAAGGGGAAAGTCTTTCGAGATCCATAGAAGTGGGTTGAGGGTGGGAACGCAGGCCAGAAGGGATGGAGGAAAAGGGCTGAGGGAGAGCTCTGACTTGCAAAGGGTTCTGTGGCAAAATGTCCTCCTATGTTTTGAGGCCCTGTTGAGTGGAAGACAGTAGGGTCTGTCTGTGTGACCCCTATGAATAACTTGCTTGAAGAACAATACAGGCAGCTCTCTGTTTACTTGGGGGTTACGTTCAAGTGAAATCGTGTATATTTGAAACACCATTTTAAAAGCCTGCAAACCCACCATCCCTCCCCTTTTCGTGACATTTGTAGGTCACTTTCAGGTTCAGCGCGACATGCGCATGCACAGTCATGCACATACCAGATAGCCCTAAAACAGCCGCTGCCTGTACAAAATATATTGCAACCTTTCTCCTTGACTTCTGCATTAACAGTCGTACATTCCTGTGGAATGGGGGGCCGTGCTATTGTGAAATGCTCAAATCTGACCCTCTGTGGGGTGTTCCATTTAAGGTTGGGGTGAAACACCTCTCCCCTCGTTTCTCAAAAAGTATGCCCCATTCTTCTCCTGCTTTCTTTATGTGAGTGGGGAGGAATTCCTTTGAAATCCCAGGAGTTGTTTCCTGCTTACCTTGCTGGATCTCTCCGGAAAGTGTGGGCAAACAAGAAGACCTGGAGGGAGCGTTGTGACGTTTCCCACCAACCCCACTTCCCAGAATGCTTTGGAGTGATGTGATGTTGCAAGGCATTCTAGGAAGTGCGGCCTGTGGGAACCTATAGGTATCACCCCACATGGCTTTTCTTAATGTTGAATAGCAGGGAGGAAATGGCCACTCAGAAGTGGCAATTCCACCCTGAAATATTTTGATAAATTCTCCTCCCCCACCACCCCACAAAGCAAATTATATTTCCCCCCCCCCCCCCCGGAGGTTTTTGTTTCGTCCTCCCTCACCCACCCAAAAAATGGTCAAGAAGTATTTCTTTCAACACTTTTCTAGCATCGTTGTCATTTTGTGTGTCGATTTTTGCTTCCGTTCTAGAAAGCTGTTTTCTGCCTTTTCCAAAGAGGTTTCACGTAGGAAGCAAGGGGAGCTCTGATCCTCCCCCCGCCCACCTGTTCCCCGGTTCATAGCCTTTTAAAAATGCTGCAACCCCTCCCATCCTTCTGTGCTCAATGGCCCTTTTGTCCGAATGCCCTCATCTGTGTGGGGTCTCTAAAAGACTTGTGCGACCATTGAAAGCTGTTTTTCCGCTCCACAGAGCTAGTGTGCCATTTCAGGGATATCCATGGACGAGGCTGCGCATGGCTGGGGTGGTCTCCCCAGTGGCTAGGGTTCAGGTTCCACATCCTAGACCTTTGGCCCATGATCGATGTTCAACCTGTGGTTGTGTACGTTTTCCCCACCCTGCACCCCATTTCATTCTGGGCCTCCCTCTCCAGCCCATATTACAAACAAAAGCCTCTCTATCTCGTTAGCCCTCCAGTTCTTCCAGGGCTGTGACCTTTACATGAGCAGTGTCAGTCCTCTGCCCCTACACACCCAAAACAACGACATTTAATTCATTGGTTGAGTCCTGCTTGTGACATACATATAGTGAAATAAAAATCACACATTTTAGTCACATTATTGAATTTGTAAGAACTTTGATGCTTGAGGAGTAAAGCATAGCAGCCATAGTGCAGAAGAACAAATAGCAATTCAGGGCACTGACTTTTTATTCCAGACACCAAATGACCTGGTTTCTGAGCCAGCAACAGTGTTCTGAAGAATTGCCTCCTGTGATATGAATCCACATAAGCCCACAACTTACATGGAGGCTATGCTTCAGGGATCGACCCTAAAGCAAAAATCGTGTATAGTCAATACACATTGGGTTCAATGGTGGGTGGGGATGCTAAAGTCATTTTTCCTGGATGCCCACCCCCTTTCATTCATTCATTCATTCACTTTGCCAAGCATGCGCAACTTAATGCACACAAGTTAAACACATAAGCTGAAGGCTTACTATACTTGATCCTGGAGAACTCCTGGGGCCCTGCTCTGTGTCTCCCTACCTACCCTCATCTGCTGGAGGTTGCAAGAGAAAGGAGCTTGTAATAGTGTCATGCTGTTTTTATGAGATTTGTTTGCTAGATGTTATATATTTGTTTTTAACATTGTTTTAATTTTATTATAGCTTAATTTGTTTTTTATTGTTTTTAACATGTTTTTAGCTTACGTGCTTTATCCATGTCTGTTTGAATTTTTGTTAGCCAGCTTGAGTCCTGGTTCTGGAGGAAAGCAGGATATAAATAAATAAAATAGTAATAGTAACAATATTTTCTGTTTCAGCGCTGAGGTGCTGAAATGCCCCATCACTGCTCTCCTTTCAACAGGCCCTTTTAAATAGTTATTTTAATTATATCATTTGGTAATATTTAAAATGTTTGTAGGTTTGCTGCTTCGATTTTTTAATTCATTTTTTATTCATTTTGAAAATGAAAGACACTTCATTGTTTTCAGAATTTTAGTTGCAAACAAGATTGCTAGAAACTTGTGTGTGAGGATGCTTTTTTTTCTTTAAGGGCCATGACTTGTAGGAAATGCTGATCCAGCACTATGCAGATGTGCTGTTCATATGAAAGCATACATGCTAGGCATGTGAGAGCCAAGCTGAAAATGCGGGAAGCAAAATGTACTGGAAATTGCCATCTTTCTCATTTTGGGATACAGGCTGGCCTTAGAAATGACCTCTCTCAGTAGTTTCAAGCCAAGTTGAAGGAAATCCTTCTGTTGCCCCAAGTTTCCAATTTTTCCGCTTCATTTTGCTTTCTTCTTAGCCTGCTTGTTTTTTTCCTATATGGTTTTTGGACCTGGGGACAACAGGAACAGCACCTCTGCTGATTGAGATGTTGTTTCCAAGGACTCTCAAAAGTGCGCTTTCGCCGCGCTCCGTATAAGGCAGGCTTTTGTCCAGAACTGCTCTGTCACTTGTACCTCTGCCCTAGTAGACCCTGCTATATACAGTGGTACCTTGGGTTACATACGCTTCAGGTTACAGACCCTGCTAACCCAGAAATAGTACCTCGGGTTAAGAACTTTGCTTCAGGATGAGAACAGAAATCGTGCTCCAGCGGCGCGGCAGCAGCAGGAGGCCCCATTAGCTAAAATGGTGCTTCAGGTTAAGAACAGTTTCAGGTTAAGAACAGACCTCCAGAACGAATTAAGTACTTAACCCGAGGTACCACTATAACCACAGAAGCAGTTTGGGGGGCCCATGCTGTGTTAAGCCGTGGAAGCCGCTACAAAGTGCTTGGTGCAGGTTGAAGTGTTGAAAAGCACTCTGGGAAGCTCCTTCCCCATTAACTTTCCCCACTACAGTCCTGGGCGACGGCTCCTTTTCCGAAAACGCATATCTTCCTCCATCTTTGCCAAGTAATAGTTTCCCATGCGGGCCGATCCTATCTGCCGATTTGCAAGAGCAGGCGCAGCTGCCTCTGCTGGAGCCTTCCGCCCTGATAAAGGCCATTTGTGTCCAAGATGCCGGGGAAATCATAGCGCACTGCGTCGGTTACCTCATCCTCCGGGCAGACAGAGGCTTCACTGTTGAGAGAGCATTCCTACATTTAACATGAGTCCCTCGGGGGGCCTCCCTCTTCCGTTGCCAGGCTCCATCATCCTCTTGACAGGAGCAGTGACACAGCAGCGATCACGTTTAAGCCCCCGAGCCGGACAGGAGACAAAAGGAGCTTTCAGTCCCGGGCATCGTCTGGAGACTCTGAAATGTTACCTCCTCTCAGCCGCTCTTTGTCTTTGTTATTTCAATTACCTTGTGCTTCGGGTTGACTTTTTGCCACTTTCCCAGCCCCGGCAGAAGAGACTCTGCCTCCTCATTACCAATCGGAGAGATACCTGAAGTGAGGGCGATGGGAGGGGAGAAGCGAGGAAACACTGATCTCTCTCTCTCTCTCTACCCAGGAGCCCAGAACAAAAGAGCATCTCTGGGAAGATGGCGAAACTTGCTGAGCAGGTTCATGGCTGTCCAGGCAGACACAGCTCTCGTCCTTTCCCCTTCACTCCTGATTTTTTTTGGGGGGGGGGGCACAGATACCTTGATGGCATATTTGATGGCGGAATAAAATGCAGGGCATTTGCCTAGATCAGAGTGCAAAGCAGGGGAAAGTAATATTAACAGCTGCTAAAGCAACGTTAAACCATGTAGCGTTTTCACTTTGAAAGAATTAGGAGGAGAAGGGCTGATCTCCGCATGTCCAGTGAGAGCAGGAGGCGAGGCTCTGTCACTGCTGAATCCTCACTTAGGTTATGTGTGTGCCTACTAGTATGGCAAAGAACTCTCGGTCACTAGCAGCACTGCTAAGGTGGAAATTCAGGAGCCGCAAGGCTCTGTGTGCCTGTTGCTGTTAGAATGTTCCATCAGCAGCAACCAGCAGGGCTTTGAGCTTTCTTACCATAAGAGAGTCTCTCTGAACAGTGAAAACAGCGAGTTTCAGCAGTGCTGTGCACAATCACCACTCTGGGCTTGCCCCGAATCTTACAAATCTCTCACTGCATGGGTCAGTCCCAAGAATTCCAGTTAATTTACTTAATGACACATAATAAGATATCAGGAAGTTTTTAATGCTTAATGTTTTACTACGTATTTTATATATGCTGTAAGCCGCCCAGAGTGTCTGGGAAAGGCCAGCCAGATGGGCAGGGTATAAATATTATTATTATTATTATTATTATTCCAAGAAACGCTTCCTAAAAGTTGTAGCAGGGAAATTCATAAAATTGAGAGCATAGAAGTGACAAGTCCATTGACTTCTGCATAGTTAGGGGGCTCCAGTTCCAGATTCTGGACCCTTTTAAAAATTCAAAATGTTGTAAATCCAGGGTACCTAAAGGATTGTCTCCTCTCACTCAAACATTCTTGTTCTTTAAGTTCATCTTCAGAAGTTTAAGGGCCCCCTCACAATTTGAGGAACAATGACTAATACCTTTCCCCCATAGTGAGCTCTGGAGTGCTGAAATGTCCTTTCTAGGGGTTTCTTGGTCCTCTTTGCTGTTGGTCCCTTCTGGCGGCAAACAAATAATTTTTCATTTCTTCTCCCCACAAGGCTATTTGAAGCTGTTTTAGCTGCTGTAGTGGGATTTCTCTTCCTCTTGGTTTTATCAGTTCCTCTGTCGTTCCAGTGATTTTTGCTTTAATTTTAAGCTGCTGTTTTGTGTTTTATGCAGCTAGCCTCCTTGAAGGGCTTTGATGCTAGAATTATTTTAATAAGGCAACTGCATAGCCAAGAGCACCGAGTGCGGGGATTTGAGGCACCGGTCGTAATGCCCGTCTCTTTCTCTCTCAGGTATCATGAGCTAGTGACGAAATACGGTAAGTTGGAAAAGCTGGCGGTGGTGGACTTGCGGCCCCAGAGCAGCGCCAAAGTCGAGGTTCACTTCAGAGACCAGGTGGAGGAAATGACCATACGCCTGGACCAGACGGTAGCAGAACTAAAGAAACAATTGAAAGCGTTGGTCCAGCTCCCGACCAGCAACATGCATGTCACTTACTTTGACCACGAAGCTCCTTTCGGCCCCGAGGAGATGAAGTACAACTCGCGGGCTCTGCACTCTTACGGCATTCGGGATGGAGATAAAATCTATGTGGACTCCAAAGCCAAATAGCCCGCCCCCATCTCCAGGGGGTTCACGGCCACCTCATGTACGCAAATTGAGGACTTTCTGGAAGTGGGGGGATTCGTTTTGGTTTGTCGTTTGAGGTTTGGTTTTCTATACGTACCAGGTAGCTTCTCCAGCAGGCCCAGATCTGTGAGAGGTGCGCTGCGACCCAGTGCAGATTGCGGTGGCGGCGAATTGTTAAGAGGAGGTGACTGACTTCAAGCGTGTGTGTGCGGCTTTTCTTTGGTTTCTCCCCAACTGCTCCAGTATTCCTGTGAACTTAGCATGAAAGTCTTTCTTCAAAGCTTTAAGAGGGTTCTTGCAGTCACTCAAGTCGGGGAGCTCGGCCTTTCAGGCCATACACAGGGTACGTGTTGAAAAGGTTTTGTGTGGCTCAGTAGCCAGGTTCCAATTACAAGTGGCAGAATTGGTGCCCCTTCACCTGGGTGGCCTCTCAGTCTCTTTGTTCCCGGAGGGTTAGGTTGGAAGGGGGATGTTCTATAAGCAGTGTTTTACTAGACTTTGGTCTACTGGATATCCAGTGCCCTTCTGGATTTCACTTACGCTGAAGGAGATCAAAACTTTGACAGGGGTTGACATTTGTGCCCGCACACACACGCACACTGCAGCTTGCAGGGCACTCTGCTAAAATCACAATCAGTTGCATAACCTTTTTGGCTTGCTGACACTCAAGGGTGTCATAGGGGCCAGACTCAGTGCAGATAGTGCCAGGCATTTAAATGGGAGCCTCTTTGTCTCTTGGGCAAGTTCATGTTGGTCGCCTGGTCATATGTTTGATCTATTTCGTGAAGGCTTGCTCTGCGCTGATGAGATACCTCTCTCAGCTTGCAGGCAGCTCTTGACGGACTGTCACCATCCTCACTGTGGCTGAAGAACCCTAAAACCCTTGCATTTTTAAAAAATATAGCATTCTTCTATCATACCCTTCTTCCAAGGAGCTGTGGGTGAGGTACATGTTTCTCCCCCCCCCCCCAAAAAAAATTCTTTTTTGTTTTATAATAACCCTCTGAGAGAAAATGTCTCTCTCAAAGTCACCCAAGGAGTTTTACAGCTAACTGGCAATCTGAACCTGAGTCTCTCAAATCCAAGTCCTATGCTAAGCTGCTACACCACAGTGGAAACCAAAGGCCAGGCCTTCCTCCCCGCCCAGCGTTTGCTCGTAAATTAGCACTTTTTTAAAGCCAATGCAGAGATGCAACAGACATACAGGTCCTCTGAGGTCCCTGGGGCCTGTCTCTGCATTAGTCAGTTTTCTAGACTTGCCTTTTACCACTTGAAAGGTGTATTGGAGTGGTGAGTTTTGCAGGGCCACCACAAGTGAGCTCCTCTTACATGCCGTAGAAGGAAGCCCCACCCCCACCCCCAAATCTTGTGAGAAGGGGCGGGTGCACCGTTTACTGAGGAGTATAGGAAACTGTCATAAAGAGTAAAAGGCCGCCCCCTGTTCTTGGAGATGTCTTCTCCCCACTTTCATGTAGCTCAACATCATATTTATGATTCTTATAGGAAAAAAAGAATCTTTCTTTTCTTTTTTTTTTGGAAGAATGCTTGCTTTGTAAATCAGGCAGGGCTCTCTCCCTCAGCAGTGCTCTTCCATGCTCATCTGTCAGCTTGACAAGTTGAAAACTGGAGAATCGCTCAGTTTTACACATGTACATTTAAAGGAGGGGAGGGAGGAAGTGGACTTCCCAGTGCCGCCGCCGCCCCCCCCAGCAGTGTCGCTAAGCTCTTGTTACCCATAAACTTTTGACCTTCCTTCCTTAGCTTCTCATGCAAGGTTTCTTTCCCATAATTCCTCTGTTCTCTGGTGGGAGGGCTTCTTTTTTATATACGTACATCTATCCCAGAGTTTGTGCATTTTCTTCCCCTGTGGTGTGCAAAACAAAATCCCAGTAATCTTATTTTTATTTATATTTATGGTAAAAGTCCTGCCCGAACGCCAAGCATAGAAAAGAGGGCAGGATTTTTTAAAAATGCAAATCTCCTCTCCTATGACCATATAAAGATGAGCAATATAGAGCAAACCAAGGCTTGCATGTGGAATGTGGTAGTCCATTCTCTTTTATTTCACTGACTCCAGTAAGAAATAATTACCTATGTATTATGTGGAGTCATTCCAGGACATTGTGTTGATGAACTGGCACTGGGCTTTATAAGCTGAGACAGAGCTGAGGTTCTTTCCTGTCCATTTGGGTAGCAAAGCTCCAAACCAACGCTTTGTTTATGATGTGTGTGTGTGTGGGTATATGTATCTATGTATGTATATTTACACATAACGGGAAATGGCAATGTTAATAAGATATTTTATTATAAAGCAAAGTTTTATGGAAAGATAAGGTTGTGTAATAATATTAGATTATTATTTTATCTGTGGACCTACTGTATGAAGTATGTTAGCCCCGTAATCTGGGCCGCTGAAAGACTTTAGACTGTAAAGAAGTGGCCATTTGGGATGTGCAGAACAGTATTTCCCATCTTCCTCCTGCCCATCTCCATGCCCAATATTTATACAGTAGTAACAGGAATTTAATGAAATATTTGTAACTGGTGGACATCCGACTGCACAGGTGTCTGTGTCTTAGAAGGAAACATTCCACATATTAAAAGTTTATGAAGGGATTCACTGAAGAACCATGTATGTGTTTCTGTTATCAAAAGAGACTGCCATCTCAACCATGTCTATGTGTGCCTGTGAGAGAGATACCCGAACTTGTGTGAACGCTGCACATAATTTAAAGGGGGGGGGGGAGAGAATGGAATTTAGCAGCTTGTATAATTTATGCAAATCAAGCAAGTTTTGCATGTGTTTACATTATTCTGCTAGTCATGAGGGAGAAGGAAGGGGAAGCAAGACTGGCCTTGGCCATCTCTCTTCTGAGATTCCAGCTGTGCGTTTCCATTTGGAAAAGCTAGAAACTTTTTTTTTTTACCACTCTTATTCCTTGGTACCTTGGCACCTCGTGTAATGTTCTGAAGGCATTCGACACTTGTGCAAAACCCATGCTGTTCTGGAAAAACCTGCCAAGACTGGGAGAAGCAGTAAAGTGGTACCTTGGTTCTCAAACTTAATCCGTTCCGGTAGTCCGTTCCAAAACCAAGACACGCTTTCCCATAGAAAGTAATGCAAAATGGATTAATCCGTTCCAGACTTTGTAAAACAACCCCTAAAACAGCAATTTAACATGGATTTTACCATCTAACCGAGACCATTGATCCATAAAATGAAAGCAGTAAACAATGTACTGCAGTCACACCTTCAATCAATCAGTAGCTGAACTGGGTTCCACACAGTCACAAAAACAAAACAAAAAGAGCCGCAAAAATAAAAACGAAAAATAAATAGCAAAAACAGACAGACCTCCGCATAACACTCAAAACGGAGTACGTTCGGCTTCCGGAAAAAGTTCACAAACTGGAACACTTCTGGGTTTGCAGTGTTTGGGTTCCAAGTTGTTTGAGTACCAAGGCGTTTGAGAACCAAGGTATCACTGTAATCTTAAAGTTTTGTTGTTTAACCAGATGGTTGCAAGGTGGGAGAAGGAGTAGAAAAAGGGAGTAAGCTTCATGTAACCGTACCTCGCTCTCTCAAACACACACACACCCTGCCCAGATGTAATTTCTTTGGCAGGATTAACATGATAAAGCCAGTGGACCATTATAGTTTGCAAATGGCACCAATCCCACGACAGCATTCTCCAGCTATCCACATCCTGCACACAGCACTGACCCGAACATGCACTTTGGTGGTGGTGGTGTTTTAAAAAATGCATTCCCAAAAAGGAGAGAAATTGTGCACATCCTTGCCATGCTTCGATTGTGGAACCGCACAAAATGTTTACAACCAGTACTGATGATGCTATGTTGGGTTGTCTCTGTGTGAAATTCTTCAGTGGAGGCCAATCTTGGTGTTTTAGTTGAAGAATATATGTGCGACAGCCACTTTATACAATAGTACCCACCCGACAAACAGGTGAGCGCACTGTTGCATAAAATGGCTATCGTTAAATATTATTGATGAATTGCCTTTCTAAACAGCCATCTCAAGGTGGTTTTCAAACAACCATCTGAAGGCAAATGTATATGTGCAATAAGCTAAATAGCATGAATGGGAAGAATGGCTTGCTTGATGGAAACATTCTGAACCATGAACATCGTTTCCAGCATGGACACCTGCACCCTCTTTAAGAATTGCAGCTTTCATTTCTTAAGGAAGGAAGCTTATAGTTCTCATCAGTCTTTGGCGCCTGCAGAAAGCTCCATGCCTTAAAGAGGAGTTGCTGGGGTGGCGGGGTGTGTGTTATAAAAGTCACCAGAAGGAGGGGAGGCTTTTGCTGTTCATATATTGTCTCCCCCCCTCCCAATCTCAAATCGTTTCCAACTCCCAATCTTCCTCTTCGCAATTGGAATTAAATTTCCCAGTTCGGCATAGGTAGCACTTCCATGAAATAACTGGGCAGCCATTAAATGGCATGCCCAGAATGGGTAAACCCATAGAATGGGTTGTATCCAGTATTATCCCTACTCCCTGTGAACCTGTTGAAGTTAATGGATAAAACTGAGCCATGAATTTTAGTGGGTTTGCTCTTGGTAGAACTTTGATAAAACGCACTACCATTGCTTCATATTAACATTTCAAATCTTCTCTGGGAGCTTTTCTTTTTCTTTTTGGGGGTTTTTTTTGGCTGATGAGAGGTATTAAAAATTCTTTTAAATCAATAATGAATTGTGTAAATTACCTACAACATTTAACGGGTTCGTGCTGAACTTGCGGGATTTGAATGTACTAGCTTCAGAACTCGGGGAACTGTTGTCTCTGGGTACCAAGCCATAGCAAATGAGAAGTGATCTGTATGTGGTTCTAGAAATATGGCCTTAAGGAGGCTTGTTGGTCTACAGAACTTGAAGGAAACCAATTTCTGTGCATGCTAGACCCAAATTTAGCATTCAGAATAAATTATACAAATTATCTAACCTGTATCTTAATTCTTCTATCCTTAAGTTGTGCAAAGAAGTTGGATTCCCCACCCCACCCTTGTGGAATGCTGGTCTAAAACTATTTATTGGGGGGAAATATATGGAATTTATTTTTTTGTCCGCATGATAGGAGTTGGGCTAAGAAATTTTTTTTTAAGTTAAATAAGAGAATTAAAAGGTTGTGAACTGAGCACAGAAGCCCAGACTGCTGAAAACGTTGCATCTTCTCTGGCTTTTTCATCTTCAGTGAGACAAGAATGCCAAAAAAGTGAAGTGGGGAAGTTGGAGGAACTTGTAACAAAGTTCATATAATGTTGACCCATAAGCAAATATTTGCTGATTTAACCTTTAGGCACATAACTGTCTATATAGTGCTGATTTCAAAAGAAGTTTGGTTTTCCTAAATCTCCCTAGATAGCACCTACCATTTTCATGCTCCAAAATGCCCAACCATGGTGGTTTAGAACTTCTCAACACTGACATTCTTAGATTGCTGAACTCTACAACACATGTGCCACTGGTGTGCAGGCTGCGCATGACCGCCTGGGCATAAATGGTGTATATCCCTAAAAAGCAGAAGCCACGTCAGATTTATAACTATAGCTAGGGGTGTGGGGGAAAAAACAGGTCAATTATATAACATACAGCATTTTGAAACTAGTACAGTGGTACCTCGCAAGACGAATGCCTCGCAAGACGAAAAACGCGCAAGACGAAAGAGTTTTGCGTTTTTTGAGTCGTTCCGCAAGACGAATTTCCCTATGGGCTTGCTTCGCAAGACAAAACGTCTTGCGAGTTCTTCCGAGTTTGTTTCCTTTTTCTTTAAGCCGCTAAGCCGTTAATAGCCGCTAAGCCGCTAATAGCCGTGCTTCGCAAGACGAAGAGACTCGCGGAACGGATTAATTTCGTCTTGCGAGGCGCCACTGTAATGGTTTTTCAAGAAGTTGCTACAGCATCTGCTGGTGCATCAGACTGTGTGCTAATTTAATCAGGCATTGCTTGCTAATGCTGCCATATAGACTTGCCATAGAGCCTTGAGTTGCAATGCTGTGCCCACTCACTGGGGACCAAGTCCGATCGAACTCAGTAGACACGTACAGGATCACACAGCTGATGTAGCAATTCTGGCCATCTAGTTTAAATACAGGAGGAGATGGGATTGAACAAGAGTGGAGCACCTGGGATGGAAGTTATTCCAGTATGCAGGATCACCTTTGGAGGTTGGCATGGCAAGAGCTTCCAGACTTCGGCTGTGGCTGCTCTTTCTCTCTGGCTTGGATTAAGCGGCTTAAACAGGAACAGTGAAGAGCAGCTGTTGCCACGATATATTCGCTCAGTTGCCTATCCCTCTCAGGCATGTGAGCATTCAACGGTGGCAAGGAGTAACAGCAGCAAGGACGAGTGCCCCACCACTAAAGTGTCATGCTGCAAAGCCACCCATGGAGCTGGCAGTGCTATGATATATTGAATGCACCTAATAAATAACTTATCCAACCAACATCTTGTGCCTTGGTCACGCGGAAAAGCGAGTTATTTCAAGCTTCTTGATTCCAGAAGATCCAGTTCCTTCCATCGCAACAAAGACCACCTGCACCACTCCAGTTGCAATGGCCCAGTGTACATCTCATTTGAAAACTGCCGCAGTGGTTGCAGCTGTGCCAATCCACAAAACTGTAACCCAGGCATTGGCAATGACTTCCAAGTGGAATGTAGAGATTTGAAACCCCTGAGCTTCAGAGAGCTCATGCTAGGCTACCCGAGATTTAGTTACCAGAAGTCTCATGGAAGACTCATGGCCTGAAGACTTCGTCACATGTCCTTTGTAGAAAAGATGGCATTGGTTTTGTTCAGTAAGCAAAATGTTGGGGCAGGTCTCTTTAATTTATTCAGGCAGAAAGGAAAGGCAGCCTGGGATTGAATCCTAGCTGACACTGATCACTCCACCTTCCTCACACGACTCTTCAAACTATCAATCTCGCTAGGGCAAGTAACTAGACCTAATTCTATAATACATTCTGAGAAGACATGATGCCTTCTTCCTTGGTGCCCAATGGCATCCCTTCATTATTATAAATTATTGCACATGGAATAGAATTGAACCAAATATCCTGCCTTTCCAAACATAAGTCAGGTCAGAATGATAACCGTCAGGTTCCTTTGACCACTGAAGTGGAGAGTGTCTGAAGGTTGTTGAAACCAGTATTAAGGAAAGAAATGAGCACAGCAGTATATTTTGGACAGGTACTCCTACAGAGTCTTCATTCTAATGTTGAATAAATGGCCATCAGTCTGCCATGAAATTCTCTGTTTTTGCCCTCCATCCACCTGAAACTTCTGCATCAGTCTCTCTGCAAGCAGTGCTTTCCAAACTACATTATATCATCACTTGGCAACTCTTCAAAATAACCGGAAATGACAGGTGTGACCATTTTACCAATTAAGACATATTCTGACTGATAAAAAATGCCAAAGCTAGTGTCCTAATGGGAACAGGATGGATTAATGCACATGTAATTTGGACTGAAACACATTGGCAGTGTTGCAGTGTCTCCGTTGGTGTGTCTCGCAGAACAGATTCGTGCCTCCATTTTTGCTTTGGGATCCTGTGTGGATTATCTTGGGACACTGGACATCCAAATGCTATTCTCTTAGTTTCA